TTCCTTTTGTCTTTATCTTTTTGTTAAGTACACCATTTTACCAGGAACTTAGTCGGTGTTCTAGCGTCTGATTTCATCTTGTCAATACCAAAGCAATGGAGTAATTTCCACAAAATAAAATTATTTATCAGTGAAGTTCATTTCAGAGTGAATTGAACACATTAAAACCCGTTTCTTCCACAAACACATAGTAAATTAGATAACACAACAGTATCAACTGATAAAGGGCAATTTCAAGTGCCCTTTTAGCTAAAGTTACCTAGCTGAAACTCTAAATGACTCATAAGATACAGCTGCCTTCCAATTACCTTGCCAAAATGAATGCAGTCTGACACAAACTGCTGCACTCAGAAAATATTCAAGGTCAGCTTAGGGTGAGTAGTGTTGTATCAATAAAGCATCTACTGTTCCATGCTAGCTCTTCTTCAGCAAGGTTCTTCACCTGTGTGGACACCTTGCATTAAGCAGCTGCAGCACAGTTGTAGGTTTAAAGCAGAACAATGTCTACCAGAATGGGAAGATATTTTGTGATGTGCGAACAGCATATTTTCTGTCATAAATTTTGGCTGCTTGAGCAGAAGGAGTGGAAAAATAAGGTGGGGGGGGAGAAGTGAGATGGGGCAAAGAAAGGGACAGAGAAAGAGATGAATATGAGATGTATAGATCTTTTTGGATGAATGACCAAACACAGAGTTGACTCAGGGTTGCAGAATTGTAAAGGTTATATTGAACTATTTCCATCTCCCTTCTATCTACTCATGGTTTTAATTACCAATTTGGTGTTTGAGGGCCTGACCACTTGCTATCAAAATAAGGCACAATTTATATTGCTGACATTTCATGATGAAGGAAGAGGCTCAGCCAGGGGTGGAAAGTGAAATCATCAGAGCATGTCAGTGACAGAGCAATTTTTTACTCCTCCAATTATTTTATGGGTCTTTAAAACCTATTACCTGTCAGGATGTCCAGTCTGTTCTGGCTCTTAGTACACTAGAGAACTTCCTGTGTTAATATCTACACAACAAAGAAAAAAAGCAACAAAAAACCCCAAATCAAACCACCACCACCAAGTAAGATGTATGAATGCATAGAAAAAGACAAAACAGTACAGTGAGGGTTTTCTAATTTAATTGTATGTTCATCAAAATAGCATCATGGTGGCTATGACTGGTCTTTGTGTTCTGCCCGATACCGATGTTCATTGATTCAGTATAATTTTATATTGACAAAAATGATCAGAGTATTTTGTTTAGCAAAATAATTTCAAATTAAAGCCTTGGGCTTTGTTTGGGTTTTGGGTTTGGTTTTTTTTTTTTGCTTCTTCTTCTATCTCACCCCACTCTATTCCTCTGATTTCATCCCCAGTTATCTTAGGCTGCCAGAGACCATTCTTCTTTCAAGTCATTATAGCATGAGTATTTAGCAAGTTACAAAAATACAAAGATACCATTAGTTATGCTGATAGGATTCTATGTTGATAATAAAAAAAGAAGGTGGACATTTAAAGTTCATCACACAGCACATGGCAGTTCGGTCTTCTCACTGCAGGCCTCGTGTTGTCTCACGTGAGCGCACAAAAGCTGTCTGGTTTTGTTAACAGTTTTAGAGCACAACTGGTCATAATTTCCATGCACAACCAGTGGAAAACACAATTAGTCTGAATTTTGTTAAAATCTGCTAACTTGTTGTGCTACCTGGCTCTGGTTTTATGTTGGATGTGCACTGAAGGCAATATATGGGGAAGATGCAAATTATTCACATTGGCTTCATAACATTAAACTTCCTTTATTCTCTTAAAATTGTAGAGCTTTGTGTGGATGGTCAGTGCAATCTAGGCAAAACCAACTGTGAACTACACTACAAATCAAAGTTCATTTGATCTTACTCAGCAAATATGAGAGGCAAGGATTTTATAAACTGCATGAAAAAAGGGAGGAAGCAAATACTTTAAACTCATAAGTCTGTAACATTTTTCAGGAGCATTTCCTTTGACTGATGATACTTTCCCTTAAATGCCAGAAATCGGGAAGATAAAATACCATTTCTACCTCATCCACAAACTGTAATGGCTGAGAGGAAGGCAGGCAGGCATGTAGACGCTAACATAAAATCAAGGTACTAACCAAAAGCCTGAAGAGAAGTTGAACAGTGCACATGCCAGGATTGCAAAGTGCCAATTATTTCTAACTCCTTCTAATCTCTGGATATCCACAGATGTTGCTGCCACTCCTGTGGGTGACAGAGATTTAGGGTGCTCACCCTCTAGCAGTTTTTCTTACTGCTCTTAATATGCATAAGTAAGGGTTATTCATGAGGATATGTTGGCTTCTAAATAGCTTTCATTAGCATATCATTACTTCAAACATATATGTTGCTATAGGATAAATTTATAAAGCATTTACTTGTTGCTAATTATAGCTGGTTCCCATCTTTATTCATGTAGCTTATTACAATGGTGAAAATATGTTATTTTTCCTGGAATAGAATGAACAAATAGATATAATATTTGAATTTGAGTGAAGTCTTGGCTGGGATGCTGTAACACCTGAAATGAAGCAAAGCTCTAAAAAAAAGTACTAATACTTGTTTCCTCTCTTTTTAAAATTAGATTTTTAATCTCCCTATTTGTTGTTATTCAATTTAGACAAACTTGTTCCTAGAAAAACTTGGTCAATAAAGACACTGACTAGAATTTCATTAAGCTAGAATTTCATTTTACAGCTATAATCCAAGGATGTTTCCTCTTAATGCCATTATTTTTGTGAAATAAAAATGACTAGTTTTGTTTGGACAAATCGACAGAACTCTTTCAGGTAAATCAAGACCATAGTAATATATGGAAGTGCAGTGTTCATCTGGTATCGTATCTTCTGCATAGGAAAAAACTGGAGATGTAACCTATGCAGTGAAAATGTGTGATTCTTGCCTTTTATGTGGGTGCAGGAGGGATTTCATCCATCAGCTTTATTCTAGCAATCTTTATCATACTTCCTTTTCCATCTTTCTCCAGGTTCTTCAATTATGTCGATACATTTCTGTTAAAAGTGAAGAATCAAGTATTCTTGACTGTGAATGATTAGTTGTTGTTATTAATTCTGCCATTTTCTAACAGTATGGTCTTGATCTGGGGAAAGAAGGTGGCTTATGTTAAAATTAAATAATGACACCTTTGAATATTAATAGGTTTCTTTTGCATTGAGATTTGAGAAGTTAACATTAATTTCTTAATTTTTTCTGTTAATGTTTCAAATCTCTTGTGTCCTTCTAGATATGAACCCTTCTCTTCCAATTTCATTTTGTTATGCCTCCAGGTTGAAAAGGACACATTCTAAAAATTGCAGTAGAATTTGAGAAGGTAGCAGCTGACTTATACTGCATTATACTTACTATGAAATGAAACATTCTGCAGTCAAAAAAAAATGATAAATGATTGTGAGTAATTTTCCTAAAGCATTCCTTCAAAAAGCAAGTGCCAAACAATTCCCATCATCTGCATCCATCTACTAATTCCTTTCCCTAGATAAATTTAATGATTATGGGCTACGTATGTGCAGATCTAAACCAAAATCTCTTTGTGAATATGACAGAATATAGTATGTCCCCAAATTGGAAATCTCTGGTTTCATTTGACAGTGAATCCTGGCTCCTCTGAAGTTAAGTGGAATTCTCTCCTTTGCATAAATAGGGATAAGAAATAATTCTTTGTGTTTTATTCTAAGGGGAACTATAGTCATGCCTGTGTACATGTGATTCAGCATTTTAACCTGACTTGGATTAGTGCCATACTTTCTCCACTTCTAGAAAAGGTTTATCTTGTCATACTTAAATATCAGATGTCTCTGTCTTGGACTGCTTCCCCACATGTAGTTGAAGTTTAAAATTTGAGTTTGACAAGTTACTTTTAAGTTCAAGTGACTTGCTGGTGAATTTCTGAAATGTATTATGACTTTCCGAAACACAGCTCAATCAAAGGTCAGCATAATAACCCCAAACAAATTCAGACTGTCTTGACTGAACAATTGTCTAAGAACAAATTTAGCTAAATATCTATTTTGTCTATTTCAGCTTATCCTTCTCTTTTTCAGCTGCTCATTTTTATTGAAAGGGAGCTAGAATACAGCAGATATTCTCATTATATCATTTTAGTAACAGTGGCAATTAATGAATTATTCATATGAATGTTAAGCCATTAGAAATGGGATGAGGTTTGGCCTGTTTGACAATGAACAGGCCAGCAGGTATTCACAAAATCATGTTTGTGAAAAAGCCCCTGTTGTGCAGAAAAGGAAAAAGTTTGAAATTCCCTTTTTTAAAGAATTAACACCTTGATTGAAAAGTACAGAGAATTTCCTGAAAGTGCATAAGGTAGAACTTGCTAATAGTGCAAAATATATTTGTTACATATTTTGTCATATATTCATGACTTTACATGAAAATTCAATACAGCTCCCAAACAGAAGGCATGTATTTTCATATCTGGATGGTTCTGAAAATGCAGGCAGGATGAAGGAAAGAAAAATAATAGTGATACTAAATTATGCTCTGCTATACATCCCTATGCACTGTTTCTTGAGAGTTGCTTGCACTGAGCTAGGTGGACCAGGGGCAGTTTGGTGACCATTGGCACTGGGTGGGCGCTGTGGGACATGGCGTAGTGAGAGGCCTGGCAGGAGAGTGGAATTAAACCACAACAGTAGACAAGCATAGCATTATAAAAAACCCAAACCAAACATCATTTACGCCAGGGAAAATGTTACCATATATGGACTAGTTTAATTCTCAATGGTTGGCATTAAATGCATGTGCATTTGTTGCCCGGATTAGGAAAGAAACAAACCTGAAAGCAGACAGTATCTTCAGGGACATGAGCTGGCCAGAAGTCTGCATCTCCCGTCCCTTTTTCTATTGAACTTACCACTCGGAGAAGATGAAA